CACACACACACACACACACACACACACACACACACACACACACATACATACTAATCGACATTGCAAAATAACAGTACTATTTTATTTTATTTTTTCATTCCTTGAATTTTTCCTTGTTACCTAGGCTACCAGCCGGGCAGCCCGGGTCACCTTGTGTTGCCCGTGCGGATGGTCCCAGCAAAAAAAAAAATAATAATAAACAATCTAAAAAAATCCAAAAAAACACTATGTTATGCAGAAAAATAAACAGAACAACTTTTGCCTCAGGGTCATATCGAAATTCTTAACTAATTTAAAAATAAAAATAAAAATTGAAAAATAAAAGTTTATTTTTATTTATTTTAATCCTTTTTGGCCCGGGCGGGCAAGTGGTCCCGGGCCACTCCGGTAGCCTACCTTATTACACAAAAAGAAAAAAAAACATAAAATCGAAGAAGACAAAGATCTGAACTGCCAACCAAAAATCCCCCCCCCAAAAAAACTATTTTTTTCTAGGCTACCAGAGTGGCCCGGGGTCACTTGCCTGGCCGGGCCAAAAAAATAAAAATAAAAAACTATTTTTATAATTGATTTTTTATTCCAATTTGGCGAAGAATTTCGACGTGACCCTGAGGCAAAAGTTGTTTCGTTTATTTTTTTGCATACCATAGTTTTTTTTTCAGATTTTTTTTTTTTTTTTTTTTTGACTGGGACCTTCCCTGGTCCTTGCACGGGCTGGCCACCCGAGACCGGGGCGGCCCGGCTGGTAGCCTAGAATTTTTTTTATTTTTTTTAAATTTCTTCTCTCCGTCTTTTCTGTTTTTTATTTTTTATAATTCCAAAAAAAATATTGTTTGCTTAAAAAAATATATGGGGTTGTAGGGTTTTGCCTATTATTTTCGACGGGAAAATCCGTAAAAAACGTGGTGCTATGCGGTCGACCCAAGTCGTGGATGCAGCCATGAACATGGTCGCCCTCCAAGCCTAACCTCGCGGTCGCGGTCGCAGGGGATACATAGCCCGGGGGCTGTGTAACCGGCTGAACGCGCGTTCATGTTCAAACGCGCTCGTTCATACCCCCCGGGACCACGTTCAATCGCATTCAAACGCGCTGCGCGCCATGTGGAGCGAATAAATTGAGCGCGACCCCAGGGGGCGCACGCGCGCGTTACAGACTACAAGGTGGTGGGCCTCATTCAAGGAACCCCGAAAGTGCAAAAAAAACACCCCAGACGGCCCATGCAGGCTATCTGAAGGGTCCTCGCAGGCATGTAGCGCAGACCCCCCCACCAAAATCAAGGCAGGCAGTGAATATGAAGTAGAGTTCGAGCTGGCCGAATATATACTCAAAATTTGACTTCAGGTCTGTGGTTCAGCAGTTACGGGTTGCTCACGCAGCTAGGAACCGCTGGTCTCTGCACGTGACTCTTAGGGCTTGGCTGCACTACTCACCAAATGTGCAAAACTAGAACGAATCT